GAATGAACACGAAAAATACAGGGACATCGAACAACACTAAAATTACTCTACAATTTTATATATTTTTCCTGAAAATTTATATTAAAATATAAATATTAGTTTTTAATTTTCACAGGTCAGTAGTGAACCAGCTGTTGGATAGCAGTGCAAGTATTGCAGATGATTGCTGTAGAATAGCTTGCTTAGAATGGCCATCCCTTAGTGTTGCAGAGCAAACTACAACAAAACAGTCTCAACAGCTTCTTAAGAATATCTACACATTTTTCAATATGGTAAATATGCATCTACTAAGGCATCATCTGCACTGAGTTTTGAACGACAGAAACTCATCCGAGATAAACGATATTCCAAACTCAATGGTATTCAATGCAATGTCAGGTAATACCTGACATTGCATTAAATAATTGTTTAAAACAATTGTCTCTGATAAGGTAGTATAATACATACTCCAAGTATTGAAATGCACGCCATCGTGTTGGGATTCAATATTTCGACATTATGTCATCATCAGGAATCAATTGTCTCTGTAAAGGCAGACTTAGGATATTTGGGGGCTTGAGGTGTACGGTAAGGAAATTGATAATTTTGGAAACGCATGGAGGGGGCTGGGAATAATCCTCTGTGTGATTTAAAATAAACTTTAATAAGAAAATAGACAGCGAATTACAAGGTAAACAACAACAGCAGCATTCTAGCAATACTGCTAGAATGGTATTTAACTACTTTGATTATTTTAATGTTTTTATGACAGTACTGTTTGTAAACAAATTAAAAAGTAATGAAATGACTAGTACCAATATTACCATAACTGAATAAACTTACTTAACTGATTTGTTTGAATTTCAGGACTACAAAATACCATTTTCTGAAGCAGTACTGCATTCTGGGGTTGTACATAATATCAAAGTGTTTCATATGTCGTTAATCATGACTCAATACCAGGAGTTTGTGCAGCAGTCATCTTCACAGACAACTCAAGGTAACATGTTGATTACTTCAGTACTGTTTCAGGGGTCCCAAGTCACCTGTAAGTCGCTAGATTTTCCCTGAAATCAGCAGGGTTGCTTGCATTTAGCCCCTCTGATATATTTACTTATGCTTTAATTAACATACACAGGATTCCTGGTGCATGCAGTCTGGCTCTGAAATTGTAAAATACAATAAATGATTAATAATAAATTTTACTATTTACATGTAAAAAAATGCATTTTCCTTAATTTTGTTTTGCTCAGCTATCAGCCGATCTGTTTCACAACATTTATCAAAGCTTCATCTAGCAACTGCTAAAATAGCTCGCAAACACAGCAATTATGCTCTTGCCTTGAAACATCTTGTGTACCAAGCAGATATTGTCAACAACTCTGATGACTGCATTCCTAAGGTGTATGACATGGAAATTCACAACAGTAATACAAAAATTTGTCAGCCTTTACTGTTAGCTATTCAAGCTCTTCAAGAACAAGACGCAGTGTCATTAGACATCTTACAGTTGAAGCGGGAGAGTGCTAAGCTACTGCATAGCATGGGACAAAAAGTTGATGCCTGTGAACTGATGGTGAAAACTATAGTTAAATATGCACCGCTTGTGAGCACAGGTATTGGAGTAAGTAAAGAGATGTCGATGCTTGCAGACCTAAACTCAAGATCTCTATTAAGCTTAGTAAAGTGGTTCTTAAGTGATTATAAAACAGCAACTTACTACTTAAAGCAGAGTGTTAGCACTGGTGAAGCAAGCCAAATAGCACAAAACCTTAAGGTACTTATTGATATGGAATATAATGGAGCTAGTCTGGGATTTGGTGTCTCAACAATTCCTTCCAGGATCGGTGGACACCTTGAAGGTGAGTATAACGCAATCTAAACATTAAATTGCACACAATTACAATTAAAATATTTGTTTTTCCAATTTTAATATCTGCAATTATAATGTGTCTTCTATCTGGCTAGCTAATGTAAGGCAATAAATCAAAGTGCGGTTTCAAATATCTGACAGGCTTGGTACATTATACATTCTAGACGACATTAGTTGAAGACAGTTTAATGCTGTTTAGTTTAATTAGTTTAAGACTTAAGTTAAGACTTAGACTTAACTGTGAATGAAATTGATCTTTGTATTTTAGCTGTAGGGTGTAGCCCGGCCATCAGTGAAACTGACGCAGTTTGTGGTAAGTTGCTGCATCTGAGCACAATGCAAGCACCAACTCTTGCCAAAGCCTGGTCTTCACTTGCCTCCTGGTGCTACAGGTGGGGACGTAAAGCTGTTGATATTGCAAGGTACAGTATGTACTGGAATCACACAGTGACTTTTATCAGTTTAGCTGGCTAATCTATTGGGCTCTCTGTGTGTTGCCCATAATTATAAGAACTTCTATTACTGTGGAAATGAAAATCAGTAAACCCAAAATTAGAATTATCTTAACATTAAATTATAAAGGTATAAGTGAGGGTAGTCCCGTATTCATTACTGAACTTACGGAAATGAGCTGTTAGCCC